CATATCGATGAATACAGCCATTCCTATTTCTGTCTAGTACTGCCCTATACCAGAAGTGATCATTTCAAATGATGAGGCATTTTTCTTTGTAAACTTGAGACGTTTTGACTTGAATGTATGCTGACATTTAATTTTGTAAAATTTTTTCTATTAATCAATAATTTTATGATAGAACAACAACACAAAGTATAATATTCATATTTTCACAAGCATGATAATAATTAAAAACGAATAATTCAAGTAATTAGTGTATCTCAATTCATTACTTTTCAAGTTTTTAATAATTATGATAAACATGAAAAAGTGTATAGAAGAGATAAATTAAAGCTACATAAAGGCAAAATAAATTTTTTTGTGTACTTTTGATCTACAGAAGCAGAAACTTGATATGAAAAATGCAATTATCGTGTACAAATAGCAGTAATGGAAAATTTTTTTAATAATTTGATAACAAATGGAAAATTAGCATGAAAAGCACAAAGTAATAACAAAAACAATTTGCATTTATCTCTCACTGCTTCTACAAATTTCAACTTGGAAACGCAGTTTTTCTAAATCAAGATATTTCATACTTAGGTAGTTATCGTGGTACTTTTAATTATGATTATGCCTTCATTAATACTATGAAAGTATTGACTACAATAATGATGATCATCATAGTAGATGTGAGAAATATCATCCCACTCTAAACAGTAGCGATAAAAAGAGTAATAATAACAGCAAAAAAGATGGACTGTGAGAATAATAGTACTAGTTAGAATAGTAAAAGTGACAACAACCATGATAGTTTTAGAAATCAGTGTGGTAGCTTGTAGTATGATAATAATAGCGACATTTCTGTAGGTTTTGTAATATATTTTTGTTCGGAAGGACGTAACAAGTAAGTTGTCAGAAATCTAAAAACAATATCAGATTTCCATGAAGTTTGCATTTTTGTGCATTTTTATCCGATGCAATGCTAATTATGAAGTGCTGAGAACCGCGTTTTCGTTTTTGTCAATGACAAAACAAAACGACTGGTATAAACTACTGCTTGGAAAATATTAATATTAATAACTTGAATGAAATACAAAATATCTATTAGCGGGTAAACAAAATAAGTCATTCAGACTCTGTGATTTATCAGTACGCATTTTATATAAACTGTATAGCTGCTGCTTGCACTTTGCAGACTGCATTAAATATGTTAATTAATCAGTCTGCTTTCTGGTGTTTGCAAAATCGAATTACAGAGCGTATCATTTATCACACTGTTTTGTTATCATAAAACATCAAGTAAAAGACTCGTGTCGTGTCTTCTAATTATTAAACATTTATTCACAATCGAAGTTTTTTGAATACATCCAACAAAAAAGTTCAAATTTAAAAAATCTGTACCTACAATTTTAATAAATGTTGTCATTGCTCTTATTGCTTGTTAGTATATTCTGCTGAAAGCTTATTAATTTTTGCTTTATCACAATACTAAAACTTATTCTACTCAAAATCTATGAGGATATCATTTGGTATTTGCTGCAAATGATAACATGAATGGTTATGGAAATCGTGCTCTTGGGTCACTTAATTTTCCTGTAAATACCGAAGAATATAAAATAAGTTAATATATAATATGAGAATGTATTTCTACTAAATAAAAAGTATTGGAATATTTAGAGTCAAAGTAAGGACTAACAGAGCACTGCTCTGTGCTTTGTAACACTTTGTCATTCCCAGTGGAATATAAATAAAAACAGCATTTTTAAAGACATGTGATAAAGAATGTGCCATAAATTTGTAGATTTGGCGACACGGTGATCGAGCACCTGTGCACCATTTCCCGAATTTTACTGACGACTTTATGTACGCCTTTCCTCGAGGCATTGGAAATTTAACTGAAGTAAGTTATTTTTGAATGAAATCTTTTAAATTTGACAAAACTCTTGCATCTTGTTAAAAGTCACAAGAGGCCTATGCAAATCACTCAAACTTATGAAAATTTACAATTTGCTTTATTTGGTGGCCAAACTTAAACTGAATTTGATATTAGTTTCACTAAATTTGCTCAATCTTGCATTTTACTAATTTGATTACAAAAGTAACAATTTCATCTAATTAACTCATGAACGCAGAGATTGGAATTCATTATACTACAGTATTGCTGACATTCAGATTAAGACTGTGCAAGCAAAAAAACATGTTGCTCTCATTTTCTGAGCATATCAGTAATTTTTTCATTGAGTTTCAATTAATCATTATATTTGCTCAAGAATAATGAAATGTATGAAGTTCAGGCTATCGAAGCAATGAAAATAATTTTAATGACGAAAGGGAACTCTTGAGATGCATTGCAAATGTCATTTGCAGTCTGATAAGTGGTAAAATAGGCAAACAAACTATTTTAATCATGAAACTGAATATAATTTTTATTTTTGCATTCATAGTTTTCAGCAAACTTGCAAGCAATCAAAATATGATCATATTTCTTTGACTGGTTTTAGTGAGTGAATCTCCGCCCGCCGATTCATTAAAATAAAAGTATAAAAAACTCAGGCTTTACAAATATGTAATTTATCACAACAAATATGCGTAGCTTTGAAATGATTGTATAACTAAAGTCAAGACAATGCATATCAAGCATTATCAAAGTGTGCTTACATGAATAAATAATAACGCCAAGCTAATGCTATTATCTATAGAAATAAGAAAATTATTAGCAAGTAATAATGAATATTATTATTATTATCATTATTATTACCAGAAACTTGAATTAATTTGTGTTACTTGAGACGGATATTGAGATACAAATATATTTAGACTCATTACGAATCTGATTTTAACGTTAACTAAAATATAGCTCCATTATAGATCTTAAAAACGAGTTCATTTCTTTTTTTCAAACATGTGAGCTTGAAAAAAATGAACGTTAAAATCAGATTCGTAAATGAATTACAAAATAATGTAATTAATCTGTAGCTTGATTTTTTTTGGTAATGAGCACCACTTTCTTGAAAAATAATGACTGAAAGCAATTTGCGTATCAGTTATTTTTGCATAAAAATGTTGTAGAGATTAATTACGAATCATATGAATAACTTTATTACATGCTATAAAGAATCGTTAATGTAAACATGTGAGTAAAGAGTAGTTCTTTGGCTGTTATTCCATTTACCCATAAGAGTTGAGTAGCATCAATGATGATGCGATTACTGCCGCTCAATCTACGGTAAGCACAAGTAGTCTTGCATGAATGTGAAGTATCATTGAAATTTGTGCATGGGATATGTAGTCAATATCATTTTATATTGCATCTTCTACTTTTGGCATCTTCATAAAGTGAATAGATATCATACTTTTCGCTGTTTGTGTTTCTTTTGTATATTGCGTTAATTAATAAGGAAAGACAAAATTAGACCATTAAATGAGCAAAATATATTTTTGTTTGTTCGGAAAGAGACTAAAGAATCGAGTTTCACTGCAACAGTACTAAATGCATTAAAAAATTGAATAAAAAAGGCACCATTTCAAACAATAATTAATTATGCTTGAAATGGTTGTTTCTGAAAAAATTTCAAATAACTAAAATAAAGAAGTAAAATGAATAAGTAGATGAGAAAATTGAAAGGAATATTGAAGTAAGTACTCATAGTAGTTTGATATAAATAGATAAAATGAATGTAGCTAAATCAACAATGAATAACAAAGCAATTTCCAATGCATCAAAATTTTGCTTATGTTGAAAAACTCATATTTTTCTCCACAGAAATATGAACAGAAATATAATTTTTGTAAAAAGTGTGCTTTTCAATAGAAAATATTTATGATAAATCAATTTTAAGATTGTATAAAATTTTTAAGACATTTTCATGTGTAGATATCATACTATTTTAGTGTTAACCTAATAAGCAACTCTCATTAGGATAAATTTAAACCGAAAGATTAAATTTATGTTTTCCTGTGTAAATTTTAAAGTTTGGATAAGTCTCAATAATTGACAGTATCCTTAGTATGATATGCACGATGAACAATATTTCAGCAATAGACCAATAATATTATGAGCCAAAGGCGTGGTTTTATTAGCTACAGATGCTGCTTTGCTCTGATTGCTTAGTAGCTGATACTTCGTTCTTTTTTGGTCCATTCGTAGCTAATTCTGGTCAGCTCTAGCTTAGAAAAAAGAGAAGTCAAATAATTTCTTTTGATTCTCTCACTTATTTTGATAATTATTCTGATAAAACTATCTGATTAATCGTGTTATGCGATACATCACTGAAGTGCTTTTTTTCCAATTTTTAATTTTCAAACAGAAAATTTGTATTTCTCTGATCTTCGATATTATATCAGTTTTGACTTTGACAGGTTTTTTCATATCGGTCTTTATTTTCAACGGAAATATGGATCAAAAAATTCATGATACAACTTAACTTATTTTTGCTTTTTGCCAAATTCTTAAATTTTTAGAAATGGAATCTTGATAAAGTTTGTAAACTAATAATCTTGTTTTAAAAACTAATTGTTCATAAGTGAGTGAAATTTAATTATTTAAAAAGGGTCAAAAATGGAGAATGCTAAAAGTTCTTCCTATCCTTTATTCCATATTTTATTAATTTTCTTGCTTTATAACAGAAAATTTGTTAATTGGTAAATCCTCAAATTACTTGAAACTTTTTTAAAACTATTCTATCATAGTTTTTTAAACTCTCATATTTTTTTTTACTTTTCGCAAATTATATTTGAAATCAATTTGCCAAGTAGTAGTAGCGTGAATTGGACAAAAAAGTTAGTCTTTTACATCAACTGGTCCTTCCTTTTATTTTAAATCTATTGCGTGTTTACATCTAAAAAATTCAGAATGTGGTTGTCTCACGCATGTAATGAAGAAAAAAGTTTCGAAAATTTTTAATTTAAGTGATGCATGAATAAAAATGTAACTCTTGGAAATTAAACTTCGGTAATATCAGCTCATATATATGCTCTCTAGTCATTTTAATAGTTTTGTTGAAAATTCAAATTAAGATTCATAAATGGCTTTAAATCCAAACAACTTATCACTCGGAGGTCTTGGTCCCAACAGCATTGAGCAGATTCTTAGATTTCGGCAGGAACGAAACCAACGGGTACCAAAATGTGCCCGATGTCGAAATCACGGCACTGTTTCAGCACTCAAAGGTGAAAAAAAATAATTCTTGCTCGTCACTCAAAGTCAAAGTTGAGACTTATTACAGCATAAATATCAGATCCATTAACTGCCAAAAGTACAGGCTTTACAGCCAATGAAAATGAAATAACTAAATCACATCTTAATAATTTTGTACTATTTCCTGTGCACAATGAACATATTAGTAAAGTTAACTTTTAAGATCAATGCATACAATGTTTTGAACGTTTCAGTAAAAAGCAGTGAATATCGTTAACCAATTCAGTGTAAATTCACTGCTGAAAAGTTTTTTCATCTATTTTCAACCTTTCTAAGTAAAATAGGCTCTACTCATATGAAAATATCTTGAAATTTTTTAGGAATAATAAACCTAAATTGTAACCTTTTAATGTTTGATATCATTTTAGGTCACAAACGTTACTGCAAATGGAAGGATTGCTTGTGTGCTAAATGTACTTTAATTGCGGAACGGCAACGTGTGATGGCGGCACAAGTAGCACTACGTCGACAGCAAAGTCAAGATGAAAAGGAAGCTAAAGATTTAGAGTTATTATTGGGCGCTGAGAAAGGTTCGCTCTTTTCTTTGCAAATTTTTTGCATTGTATTTCGTTTATTAGTTTGGTGTTAAAACTTTAATAGACTGCACAAAGAGATCAGTTTTGCAGCGGACAAATTATTGAAGTTTATACGTCAAGATGAAACAGCTTCTAGTGGCGGATGCGAAAGTATATTTGGCAGTAACTTGCAACTTCAGGAAGGTTATTAATGCTGAATTTTAACTAGTACTTACTTATTCAGACACTGACATTGTCATTCAATATTGGCGTGAAAATTCCGCAAAATTTCTTTGCTTCAAATTTGAAAGATTTTTTGAGCGCATTTTTAGTGATAGCTTTTATTCGAAAGCAATTGTAAAATGTTGATCTAACTGTCCCTCCGATGCAAGTGATGCCTAAAATTTTAAAAGAAAAAACAGCTAAGACAGTACTCTCGAACCCAAAGTTTATAAACAGTACTGGTTTGCGGCAAAAGAATAGTAGTGGAAAATTCAAAAATAGTACGTCATTCTCATTCTCTTCAATTTGACCATCAATTAAGACTAAAAAATTGTGGATTCCAAGTGTAAGAATTATTTATATATAATAACTGAATAAATTTGAAATTATGACCGAATAGCTCTGACACTTCTCGGATAAACTTTGACTAACTGTAGTTCAAGATTAATCTATGCTACTTGTATTAAAGATCATCTTTTAACATTATAAGTGTATAAAAATTATATATATATGATACTCTGTGATCAAGTTAATGCTATTCGCTTGTTTGAAATGGACGAGTACTATTAGTCACTAAGACTATTTAGACTTATAATAAACATATTATGTAATAAACGTATTGTGTTCATCCTGATATTAATGCTTGACAAATTTCGAGAGTCAGACTGTATATGAAGTTTTATTACCATCTCCATTTTCAAGTTAATAGAAAAAAACACTCAGATATTAAGTTTAATGAAGAATAACGTAAAAACGTAGTGAAAACTATTCTTCTAAGAATAATGAGCTCTTTAGAGCATAGGGAAAAGTTTTGACAAGAAAAATTCATGACGTTTTAAAAAAAATAAAAGAAGATTCAAACACGAAACATATGTTGTAAATAGATTGATACTTTACAGTTTTGCAGTAAATAGTCAAGTAGTGTAGTTTTTTCTTAGTTTTAACCTTTCTAAGTTAAGTAAACAAGACAGGAGTCTGTATCAGCAAAACCTTTAGTATATCAACTGTAGTAGCTATTAGCTCTTAGCACTTACATTGTGCGCTATCAAATTGCATTAGCACGCGATGGGTCAGTATATTCAATTAAAGTACAATAATTTTTGTATTATTAAGTAGCTTCAGTAAACAATTGAAGTGTAAATAACCAGTCAAATATGACCCTTTTTGGTAAATTATCTACGAGAAATTTGTCTGGAAAAAAAGAGTATTGTACGGAAAAAATTATCAGTAAAATGATGTATTTTAGAACATCTGAATATTTATGCATTTTCAAATGATGGAGCCGAGCTTTGCATTTCGTATTACAAATGTGTTATGCACAGTCGTAACAGTTATCTTTTCTTAATTCATTTTTCTAGTCAGTAATACTAAAATGTGCAGTACATCAGCTCATCAAACTTTAATTAGCAACGTCCTGTGTAGTTTGATTAATTGAACTGATCAAAAATCTATTGCTATCATAAGTTTCAAATTTGTTGCTTCCCATTTCAGGTAATCACTATGCTAATTTACAAATAAACAAAGAACTTCAATTTCCAAGTACATAATGAAATTAAATGACTGGAACAACATTTGATTATTTATTCCATTCATTAATTATAATAATTTCAGTGCTACTGGCGGCAAAATATCCACTTAAAACCACGCACTTTACTAATTTACAGACTTTTGCTGAGCTAATAAGGATTAGCGTTAATCGAAAACATATTTACACCACAGCTGCCTGAAAAAGTAAAATTGTATGACCCTTGATTAAAAGGTCATCATAATGAAAAGTCAAATCAACAATCACAACAGAATCAATTGTATTTGCATTGAAAGAAGAAAATAGTTCATGAAAGGATAATCCTTACTAAAAATGCATTTAAAATGACAGGTGCCAGCACTTGCTTGCACCAAATGGCGTAATACTTAATTATTATTACTTCAAGTACAGTTGGGGAATGGGTGCGTTACAATTAGTTAAATCTTAATACTACGAAACTCGAACACTAAATAAATCATTACAGGTCGATACTTTGAGGAAACTGATTACTTTATAGACGTTCTTCTTTTTCATTCAGAAACTTAATCTTTCAAAAATCATCACATTTATCAAGCCACCAACATTCACCTTCCACATTTGATAAATTCAAGATTTACTTCATCAGCACTTTAAAACAGATAACATCGATGACCATTTAGCGTAATTTACACTCAAAATGAATTTCAGATGTTGTAGCAAGTTCTCCGTTATTAGATTCTGATGGACCATCAACATCGTTCGTAAAGTCAAGAATCTCATCACCAAATACAACAGCTTCAACGCAAGAACATTTTTTAGCAAAGAAATCTAAATTTCAACGGAAGTCCGAAACCGAAGACACCGGTAATCCGGAAAACGTTGATAAGGTTGAATAATTTTGCAACACTCATAAATCCAAAAGTGTATAAAATGTATTTAGACTTTCATCAATTCGAAAAATAATAATGATTGATAAATTTGCAATTATCCCATAATTTTTTCATATATAAAGCACATGAATCGTAAAAAAGTATATTTTAATATTAAAACAATAAAAAACCATTGAAATGGCTAATTTTTTAGTCACGTTCACCATTTGATCGCGCAGAATCATCACAAGAGCAATCTACTTGGCCTATGCAGTGGTCTAATCCTCTAAATTTCTGCTCATTTCAACCACTACCACCACTTCCCTATCGACCACAACATTTTGGACAAAGTCATTTTTGTGCTCAAAACTTTCTCGATCTTCAAATACTGTATTAAAAAAAAATAGAACAAACGTCACAGTTAAAAAAAAATACTGAATTGTACCAACTACAACATAATTATTTATTTGAAATATTACAATAATAGTATCTTTGTTAATAAGCAAAGAATAATAGTTTTTGATAAATCAAAACAGCAACAGTAATATTAATGGACAACGAATAATTATATCCTTCCTTTTATCTTTTTGCATTAAATTTGTTTGATAGAAAAAGTAACGCAACTAACAAGTTTTGAGATTTAAAGACATAATTACATCATGCCTCGCATCGCTACTATATGCATATTTTTCCGATGGAATGAAGAACGGGATATTAATGATAGCACTGATATCAATACTCGTTAACTGAACAGTGTTTGAAGTATTTTTAATTTTTTAGCAGTTTTTCCATTCGGCATTGGATGTTATCCATTGAATCCAGCTCTTCTTTATGCCAAGTCTTCATTTTCACGAATGCCCGAAAGTTAGTATTTTCCGTCTTTAATTCATAGCAATTGATTGCTTTTCAAAATTTTTTCCCTTTAAAAGTGTTAAAAAATTGAGATACTCCAGATTTTTTGATCTAAGTCATATTACTTGCAAATATAATTATTATCATTGACATTTAATGATCCTTTTAAAAAATGAGATCAATTATACGTCAACATTATTATTTGATTTATAAGCTCATCAATTAACTTTACAGGTATAATTCCACCGCTGACAACGTATCCATGTGACACGCAATCAGCCAACACATTTCCTTGCAGTTCTTTCAGATCACTGCCACCAGTCCAAGCAAATCCTTTAGACTGTCGACGACATATAAAAACTTCCAACACTAACGATGAATTTATCAATGAATGAATGCCTCAAAAGAAACAATTCATCACAACAATCTGTAATAGATGGATTTAATCTTGAAATGTGTTGACTATCATACTGATATAAATGTTCTGCAAACCAAAAATTACTTTTGCGAGTCGTAAAAGTTTTATTTACGATAAATTTATTTTCGTTTTTTTGAGAAATTATTGATATGTAGTTAATTATTCAATAAAACTCAGCATATAACCATTTTAATACCCTCTAAATAGAATACACTGACCAGTATAGAAATTTAGTCAATAGCTCAGAACAGTTCAACATTAAGTTTCGAGTGAAATTATAGAAGAAACAGAAAAACTGATATATTCATGCAGTAGTACCTAAATTTTTGACATAAACATTTTTAGATTTCGTTAGCAACGAATTATGATACAATAAGTTAAATTTTGAAGCAAACCATCTAGAACAAGATGACAGAAAAACAAAATATATATTTCATTATTACCATGAACTTCAAAAACAAAAGACTCAAAAATTGCAAACTAATAGCATTGTTTATCTTCTGACGATAACTTGTTTTCGCATGAAATCCATATTTGAAGAGTGGTCATTACCAGCTGGATGCTCCTTACTGCAAGTTTTCAGAACTAGAACAAGCTATCTCTTTGCTTCTTTTAACAAATTCAAAGTTAAATAATAGCTGCTTAGAAAAAAAAGTATAGTCACAACTTATAACAATTAAAAAAGAAATCTATATTGCTTACAGAAAAATTAAATGTGTAAAATGAAACGCTGTATTGTCTTGAACCACATATAGTGAGATTTAGTTTGTTTGAGTTCACCGTGAATTACATGAAAGAAGTATCATAAATTCATAAATATAGTCTTTATTATAATTTGATGACATCATTTTAAGCGTATTTATAAGTACATAATTTAGTACTTCTACTTGTCTACCTAAATGAGCATTTTAATTGAAATGAACTTCTTTGCTAAAATTCATAAATTTAAAACACGATTAAGACTTTCTTTTAGGAATAATTTTAATCTGTCCCACCCCGTTACTTTTATTATCCGCATTCACAGATATTTTTACACATACAAACGCGAGCAGATATATGAACAATATTTTGAGAATAAGTATTGCTCAAAAAAAACAAACAAAGAAAACAAAATTGAAAGAAATTTGTGAAACCATGTAAAAAATATGTTTCTCACTTTCATAATGTAAAAACAATTTCAGTTTTCATAATCGCAACAATGTTATTTTGAATCGATGAAAGAAATTTACAAAAACCTAAAAAAACCGCTCAAATCTTTTAATGAAACTTGTCAGTGTACTTGTTTTTTAAACACAAACATTAGAAACTTTATCTTATTTTAGACCGTTAAAGTGGCAATACTTCTTGCTCCTTATAATCACCACTTGTGAACTTAAGGACAGTTTCTTCTGTCAATAATTTATGCATGCAAAATTCTTTTCTTCTTCTTAAACATAAATCTATTTTGTTCCATGGTGATCTGAGCTATAATGGAATATAACTGGGATTATCACAATTTTTTCATAGCTACACTGCAAATGCAGTTTTTTTGATTCCTCTTAATAATGCCCAGGAGTCAACAGTTGAATACTTTAACTTACTGAAGATAACTATTACCATAATGTTAGGTAATAACAATAGTAATTTTAATCAAAGATTTTAAATATTAAATAGTTATACTTTAGGGCAATGGTTCCAGAAAAAACCTCTCTTTTGCTACCTTCGGCAAGATTATATTTAATTTGGTATACATTCGTATAAACGGTGGTGTTGCTCTGAATATCAATACTGAAATGTAGATGAGGTACACAGATTAATTAGATAAGATATCAAAGAAAAAGAAATCTTGCTTGGATGACACCATCAACACAGTGTGCATTGATAGACAAATGTGACGTCAATTGCAAATACAGGTCGTACAACAATGTTTATTCGTGCTAATTATAAAAAGGCTTTTTTAATTTTATTCAGATTTGCTTACTAGATACTCCATACGCTTCTCTTTTGCTTTTCGGCTTCAAAGTTCTTCCAGAGACAACTAAATTCTCGACAACTACTTTATGTCGACGGCCAGCATATTCTACGGGATCACGAGGCCAATCTAAAGCTGACGGAATTGTAACACAGATTTCTTCTTCTCCATGTGCTTCCAAATATCCGTGACATGATGAGAAACGAGGAAAACAGCGTTCTTTTGTGCGTAAACGATACACTATAGGAACTGGATTATTATTTCGAATCTAAAAACCTCATTCATTTCCGGACAATCCATTAGCCAAACGACAAAAACTTGTTTTGTAGCCTATTTTCAATTGATTAAACTTTAAAATATTAATAGTTTTGGATTAAGCTAAAAATTTACCTTAAAACAAGCAAACTGATCATCTATGTAATTGGTATCCGCTGAGAAAACAAGCCATGAGGGGATCAGTTGAAGCTCAAATTCAGGCGTTTCACCTAAATTCCGATCTTCAAGACGATCTAACATGAATAAGTCACCCTCAAAGCTATCTAGCATCATTTGCAAAGGATATTCAGCAAGGAATTGGAGTGAAATAAAAGACTATACACGGTGCTTCAAGTATACAAGAATAATCAATTGCATATCCTTCATCAATTAAATAGAAATCAACCAAATTTACATATGAATTCAAATATGTAAAATTATCCTTAATAGTAAGCAAGTACAAACAAGCATATCTTACCATCATGTCATGACCAAGTCCAAAAAACAGTACCATCAAATGAATCGGTGACAAGCAAATTAAATCTTTAACTAATTTAGGATAGGAAGCATTGCATAAAGTCAGCATTTAATAAATAAAGCACACAATGCCCAGAAAAACCATTTAAATGTAAATACGATATTTACATAATTTTTGAATTTAAAATTTCTAGGACGAGCCACTTTATTACTTCGCGGCTCGTACATTTTTATTTGAAATATATTAAGTCTCAATTCGTAATTGTAATAATATCCGTAGTACTATTTTAATGTCTGATCCATCTTTAGTGTTTAGATGAAAGTCAGCGAATAAGTTCAAATTTTAGGCACTTCGCAAAAACGGTTTCCTTCGTTCGCTTCTCATTTCTTCTCTGCAGTCGATCTCATTCATCCTTCTTTACGCATTCTGTCTTCGCTAGTGATTCTACTAGTAAGTGCAAGTGCAAGTTCTTATTTGCTTTCTTATTATATGCACTATGATTAATGGTTAGTTGAGTTGATTTCGCTTTTTATTCTATATAAAATTATTCACTTTTTAATGCCAGAACATAATCGATCAAATGTATTTCATTACTGAATTTAAGTATTGGGATTTTAAATTATAATATATTTGCTAATTGAATAATCACTTTACTTGCGTTTTTAATAGTTATCTTGTGCTTGGTTATCAAATTACTTGTTTTTCAGATCGTACGATTTCAGCTACTAGAAAGATGATGGCTAGCAGTGCTTCTGCTAAATTCAAGACAGCTGTAGATGGAAGTTGGTTTTTATAATTAATTTGATAACTTTGATAATTTCATTCAATATCTGTGCCTTTCTTTATATTATTTCAGCATTATATGAGAATATTATATTTTTATGCATTCTAATAATACCGCTATAAAAGTTTTACATTTAAAAATACTATAACTTCAATAAGAAGATGCTTGTTCTCCATTTCAGTTTCACTAACAAAATTTTCTTGTCGCTACGATAGTAAAAAAACGAAAATTGCTAATAATAAACGGAAATTTACTTGACTTTATTTTAGAAAGATGCCCAGAAAAAGCATGGAAACCGCCATCTCTAAAATGCCCAAAAAACCTCACTTTATACAATAGCTTGACAAAAAAGAAAGAACTTTTTGTGCCAATTGATTCGAAACAGGTATTTTTAAAGAAAAATGAAAATGTTTTATATGCTCTTTATTATTAGCTGAAAATATGACATAAATTAAGGTTAAATGGTATATTTGTGGACCAACAGTTTACGATTCAGCACATATGGGACATGCACGAGCGTATCTTTCTTTTGATATTTTGCGACGTGTTTTACAGAATTACTTTGGTTATGATATACAGTATATAATGAATATAACTGATATTGATGATAAAATTATTAAGAGGCAAGTTTCGATTTAAAAGTAAAGTATTCTTTAGTCTGGAAAAGATTTCGACATATGGATTGGTGAATTTTACTAATAAATTTTAGGGCTCGTCAACATCATTTGTTAAAAAATTACTTGGCTGGAAAATACGGTGAACTTTCAGTGACTCAAATTATTGAAGACGTCATACTTGCTTTAAATTTTCTCAGAAAAAAGTGTATGAATGAAACAGATCCAGACAAGAAGAAGCTTATGGCTGATGTAGTAAGTTTTACATTGAAGTAAAATCATTTATTCATTGTATTTGAGCTGTGGAAAAAATGTTAATCGCTTTAGTTGATTGCAAGATAATGATTTTTAAAAATCTACTGCTTTATAGAGGATTATTTTAATGAATTCTTAATTTTAATTTTTAATATGAGATGCATAAAGTGTTAAGGGTGAATATGTAAATATCGCTGTAAAGAAACTAAAAGATTCTCTCGAAAAATCAGAGAAAAATGAAATAGACAAATCAAAAGATGAACTACTATATGCGGCAGAAGATATGCTCTCAGATTGGCTAGATGCAGTTTATGGAAGTACAGTGGACGATCTGACAGTGTTCGAGAGATTAGCTAAGAAGTTAAGGCTGTTCTTTTTTTCCAGCCAAGTGCATTAATATCTTACCATAAAACTATGTTCAACGATTTAAGGTATGAAAGCGAATTTCTCTCTGATATGGCTCAACTAAATGTGCTACCACCAACTATTTTGACTCGTGTTTCGGAATACATCCCTGAGATTATTAAATACGTGCAGAAAATAGTAGAAAATGGTTTTGGTTATGTAGTCGAAGATGGTTCAGTTAGTTGTGACGTTATATATATATATTTGTTTCTATTTTTGAGCTGTTACCTTTTTAGCACTTATTTTTGTTATAAATTACCTTTTTAATATTTTTATTGGTAAAAAATCTCCTTCATATGTTTTTCAGGTTTATTTTGATACGATAAAATTTGATAATAGCGACAAACATTTTTATTGCAAACTGGTACCAGAAGCATTTACTGATCGGCAAGAACTAATGAAGAGTATGCAGGAAAGTGAAGGGGAATTAAGTATGGGCAATTTTCAAGTCAGTTACAGTTATGTGAATTTATCTATCCGAATAATAAAATTGCATTTTGAAAAAAGTGCTTTCAGAACAAAAGAAATGTCACTGATTTTGTTTTATGGAAAGCATCAAAACAAGGTGAACCATACTGGCACAGTCCATGGGGAAATGGTTAGCAATCAAAAGTTCTTTGGTTTATTTTCGAGTGATTTTCCATTGCACTCTGAAGCATTGCTGTATAAGCTTTATCTGTTGATATATTCTAGTTCATTTAAGGTCGTCCAGGATGGCATATTGAGTGTTCTGCTATGAGCTCGAAAATTTGTGGCCCCTCTTTAGACATTCATGCTGGTGGTTTCGATTTGAAGTTTCCGCATCACGATAATGAAATGGCACAAGTAACAAAATTTGAGTTCTTCACTTTTTTGTCTTTCCTGGATTTTTCAAAATGTAAAAACAAAGCTTTTTTCTATGATGATTTATATTTTCAAATTTATTGTGATTTATAATTTTTCAAATTTATTGTGCAATCATTGATAGGTGGAAGCTTATTATGGTATTGATAATTGGGTCAACTATTTTTTGCATTGCGGTACTTTGAGAATTGCTGGCTTGAAGATGTCAAAAAGTTTGAAAAATTTCATAACAATTCGTGACGTGTTAAAACAGTATACTGCTAGACAGCTGAGAATATTGTTTCTCATGCATAACTGGAATGATGTGCTTGACTATAGGTTAGTTAGTTGAAACTTTCATGCACGATTAATCGCTGTGTCTACTTTAAACGACAAAATAACTTTAGTTCGAGTTCAATGGAAAGAGCTTTACAATTCGAAAAAGTCATTGGTGAATTCTTCTTGCTTATTAAAAGCTATTTACGAAAATATTATAAACCAAATTGTAGTGAGGTTGGTTTCTTGTTTTTATCCAATTATATTCACCCATAATTTGTTTCAGTAAGCCCTATGATTTCATAATACTTTTCTCATTTAATTTTCTATTTCAGTTTTTCGTTCCATGTGTGAATCATTTTTGATATGTATTTGATTATGGCAATTTATTTTTTCAGAGCTACCAGAAAATGAACGATCGAGAACTGCAATTGCTATTCGAGTTTTCTAAAATCAAGAATGAAATAAATTTAGCATTGTGTGATTCAGTTGATACACGAACGGTGATTGAGAAGTTGCGACAGCTGGTTTATGTGGGCAACGCTTACATCACCGAAGTGGTGCGCTTTTTCTTAATCAGAAATAAATGCTATGGTATTTTGCCATGAAATCCAATCCCACTTGTTGTATACTTAATAACTCATTCATTCTTTCTTAAACTTAAACTTTAGTTCAGTAGAATGTACATCAGTGGTTCACGATTGATTATTAGATAAAATTATTGAAAGTGTAACATGAGACGTTAGTTTACTTACATTGTATTTATGTGAACTCAATAAGAGTTTTTATAGTTTTTATACTTATAACTACTAGGAGTGATTAACGCGAAACTTTTAAACATTCTTCATGAATTTCGGTTGAAGATAAGTAGTACTTTGACTGTTTTATAATTCTTATTTTTAGGAGAAATTAAAAATCGGAATTCCCAATTGTTTGCTATTGCGGGATATTGCTTCGTATATGACATGGTTGTTCAAAATATTTGGTGTCATTCCCGAAAATATTGAAATTGGTTTTCCAAATCATCAGTAATTCGTTTTATTTGCTTGTTTTGTTTGTCAAAATGCAATTGTTCAAGCCAGTATCACTTTTCATTTTATGTCATCTTTTCCTTTATGTTTTCAATTTAGTGAAATGTTGAAGAATGATGTACTAGATAAATCTAAAGAAGAATTACTCATGCCTTATTTGACAGCTCTTGTTGAATTTCGTGAGAATGTGCGTAAAGTGGCTCGTGAAAAAAACGTTATTCAGATTTTAAAGGTACGATTTTTTTTCGCCTGTGAAATAATCTTCAAAAAAGGTATGAAATTATTAAGTGCATAAACAGTCTACCTTTATTTCCACTTTTTGTCAGCCACTTAATTTTTATCTCATTTTTGCAGGAATGTGATAGATTACGAGATGAAATTTTACCAGATTTGGGTGTACGACTGGAGGATAGGACTTCGGAAACATGTATTAAAATTGTTGGTAAGGAAACTTTAATGCGTGAGCAACAGCAAAAAGAAGCTATTGGAGCAGCGAAAGAGAAAGTAATGTTTATGAGTGGAATTAATTATTTCCATACCTTAAGTTAAGTATTAGCTTTATAACATTTTGTTTTCGACTATGATTTCACACTTTGATCACTACGTAAATGCTTTGTAATTTGCAATTCTAAATTTTTATTTGGGCATAATTTTACGCTTATTTTTGAAAATTCAGGAAAAACAGAGGAAAAAATATGAGGCAGAGAGAAAAGAAGCAATTAAGCGCATACCACCATGGGAACTCTTCAAGCGGGGAGAAGAAGCAAAGAAATATTCTGAATATGATGAAAAGGGTATACCGATTTCTTTCGCTAATGGTGAAGAGATTTCCAAAAAACTGCGGAAAAAGTTAGAAAAATTGTATGAAATACAACAGAAAAACTATTCTGAGGTAATTTTTGTTCTAGCATAAAGATTAAAATATGATATAAAAGCGTAAGCGCAAAACAGCTCTTGTTGAATTTCAAGTCTTCCATAGGCCAAATGGAAAAAATGTCAGAATATTTGCCTTTTTGATTCATGTGTTACCTTATCTTGCTCTTAAAAATTACTTTCAGGCTTTGGCAGCATCAGAGAATATTGGCGCAACGTCGTAATATTTTTCTATGTGTTACTGATAATTGCTAACAATTTTTCATTATGTAAAAGAAAATATTGTAATTAAAAAGATCATCGAATGTCTTTGATTTCCATCAAGTCAGAAAATGGCTCTGATATGAAATAATGAAGGATTTTTAAAACGGAATAAATTGTTTTTGTCTTTTATTCTCTTAAATATTCATTACTGTTATGTTAAACTCATGTCAAACTTTTCGTGATTTAATGGCAAGTTTATGGTGGTTTCGGTAATATAATAATAGAGTTTATAAACGGTGGTGTCGCAGCTCGTTTAAAGCATCTCTATTCTCTCTAATGATTTAAAGGTTGAGTAGTTCTCCACTTGCATCAAAGTCTATCGCATAATATTTTTTGCTCGAACGTTATGTAAATAAGAGATATTTGTGTTCAGTGATGGATGAATTTCACGGTGAGGGCCGTAAATTTCTAATTATGATTCTGCTTCATCCTTGTTTGTTTCGGGGTTGTTGAGTGGTCGGTGTGGTATGTCTGCCTCACGTAGTCGTCTTATTGTGGTTGCATTCGAAGTTTCTCTAGTTGCGATGTTCTCTTTAACTAGTTTTATTTATTGTCGTTTTTAAAAAATGAGTGGAGTTGAAATTCCATGGAGAATCAGTGATTTTTCCGTTTCGGAACGTGCAAAGGTTTCACTAATATTGACTGGGAGCAGACATGAAATTATATGCTATATTGTCTCATTTATATCAGTCATGTATATGAATTCATCCCACCATCCTTGCAAAAACTTCGAGAAGAATGAGTACACAATTAAAGATTGTGTTTTGTTAGATCGCAGCAATACCCAAAGTTTAGGATGAAACTGGAAACTAATTTGAAGTTTTGTAGTGAGTAATGAGTGCTAGGAGTAAGAGCGAAATATGAGTGAGTAATGGGGCTTCTATTTGTCTCAAGTATTTTGTTTTCGATAGGGTGTAATCTGATGCAGTGCATGAGACACAGAGGAATCTCTATCGCCAATTTCTTCTTGGCTCATCTGTTATTTAGACGAATTTTTGATAGGAGGTAGGTAGCTAGTGGAATTGAATTCCAAAATTTCACGGTGATGGCCGTAAACTTTTAATTATGACGTTGCTCCATTTCTGTTAGTTTTGGTTTGATTCAAAGTTGTTGACTGGTCGGTGTTATTTGTGTGCCTCACATAGTCGTCTCATTGTAGTTGCATTTAAAGCAACTTTTTAGTGGTCTTCCCATATTTATTATATATCATTGTAACTTTTCTAAGTTTGTGGATTTTTTCGCCTAGACTCGGTATTTTATGAAGAGAGTGCATTTCCTTTTATTGATTGTCAAGTAACTGTCATATGTGTTACATTTGCATATTTTTATCAGTTGGGTTTTTTTTACTATTATCATGCTACGCCAAACGTGGGATCCTTCCTGTATTTTGGTTTTATCCAAGAGAAAACACTATATCGCCTACACATAATTCAGGTTTAGAAGATATAAGAGATGACGCGAAAGTTCCTAGTTGGCGGCAACTGGAAGATGAATGGTGATAAGGTATATTTTTTGAGTGTCCTTTTATTTGATATGTGTAGTGTTTCCCACTCGAAATGATTTGCCATACGTTTGGTCGCTTCCATTTTTTGTCACTGGGAATGCAAATTGGTGCATTATTTCATCTGTTAGTTGAATTCGATTTCAATTATTTTGAACTGGTTTTCCGAAAACAATACCTCTTTTTAAGGCAAGTGTCGATAATATCATTAAATTTTTGAACGAAGGTGCTGTAGTACCGAATGTCGATGTTGTGGTAGCTCCACCTGCTCCATATCTATCCTATGTTAAAGATAAACTCAACAGTGCTATTGAAGTCTCTGCGCAAAACTGCTATAAGGTTGAGAACAACAGCTAGTTCACTCAGTTTTTCTTATTCTCCATCGGATGATTGTACACTCTCAGTGGTTTGTATTTCACGAATAAAACTGTAATTTAGATCTTAAACATGCAATAGGTTTTGCAGTTCCTTTCTAAATATATTAAAAATTGCTTTTTAGGTTGCGAAAGGTGCTTTCACGGGAGAAATTTCTGCAGCGATGCTAAAAGATTTGGGATTGCATTGGGTGATTTTAGGACACTCCGAGCGGCGTCATATTTTTAATGAATCTGACGATTTGATCGCAGATAAAGTTGTGCATGCCACTGAAAATGGCTTAGAAGTGATCTTTTGTTGTGGTGAGAAGTTAGATGAACGAGAAGCTGGGAAAACCAAAGATGTTGGTTAATTAGTTATTTTATTGTTGTGTTTAATTGCTTTCTATGTAACGTTATTTTAAATCATGACAAGCTTTTCATAATTCTTTGATTTTGTGTCATCAGTAAAATTAGATTAAAATAGTAGCAAAATAATAACATGTGATGACAATAATATTAAGGTAAATTTCCGACAACTGCAAGCAGTAATTGATAAGAAAGCAGATTGGAAAAAAATTGTGATAGCTTATGAACCAGTATGGGCTATTGGTACTGGAAAAACAGCTTCGCCAGACCAAGCTCAAGAAGTACATGGTTGGATTCGAGAATTTCTTAAAGAAAAGGTTTCTGCAGATGTCGCTGATAAAACCCGTATTCTTTACGGAGGTAAGGCTTTATTCGATGTTTTATTGTGTGGAGTCCACTTTTTTTTCAAAGTCCAGAATTATATTTTAATTTCTCACACCAGAAATCATTCACAATAGGGTGAAAGAACCCAGTTGTGTTAGAAATATAATTCTGTTTGTGTAAAATTATTATTTATGTTTGTCCTTATAACATGCTTTTTGATTTTTTTTCTGGTTTTGAATGTTTTCAGAGAAATATTCTTTTTGCGGATTAAAAGTTATTTTTGGTTGTGACTGCTTTTAATGAGTCTTGGATTTTCTACAATTTGAGATTTTTACTTGTATTGTATTACCAATCCAGCAGTTCTTATTTTTCTTGTATAAATTTTTAAGGATCCGTAACCGCTGAAAATGCTGCTGACTTGGCTAAAAAGCCAGATATTGACGGTTTCCTGGTTGGTGGTGCATCGTTAAAATCAGATTTCATAAAAATAATCCGTGCTCGTCATTAACACTGAAGTTTTTGCAATATTTATGACCCAGTTGTTATTCTTCAATGATTAATAGCAAATACCAACTTTGATGTGGTGAATAGTGATCTATAAATGATTGAAGTAGTAGTAAATTAATATAGAAATCTCTGGCACAGTAGAGACTGTTTACAGAAATTTTGTAGTTCATTTATCGTCACTTTGTTTATTCATATATGATTAATGTATCCCCTTATGTGATAAATGATTAAAATCGTTCTTACTACTTCTTAAGCAGACAGTGTTGTTCTGTGAATATTAAATTCAATGCCAAAAAAACTTGTTTTTTATTTGAAGAACGCTAGTTATAGTCTAGGTATGACAAAGGAAGTGGTATTTTTCGTGAAGAATTTAGTCACAGTTATAATTTTAGGGCATGTTCATTTTTATGAATTTTTCTGATAGACATTTCAGTACAGAATGAGTTCTGTTCTCATTGTTATGGGTGATTGCGTGCAAAGCATTTTATATATTAGTGTTGGAAGTCGTTAAAATTTTCAGGTGGAGCAACTGGATGAGTAGTATTTATGTAAACGAACCGGCAACTAGCGGCAAGGTAAGTGGTTGCAAAAACTGTATGGCGTTTCGCTTGTTTGGTATCTTTTTCTGTTTTTTCTTATTTCGGTAGATAGTATTTTATTGAGAATGGTTCCTGGTTACAGTTTTAGCGTACTGGAAAGGTAGGTAGCATAGAATTGCTGGTAAAGCGAAGGAAATTAGTAAGTAGAAATTTGCTACTTTCGGAATATTAAAGGATGTTGGCTTTGTTGGTCAAATTTTTTATATCCTTTTATTCAGATATGTATGACAACAACTGTTGGCGATATTGATATTGAACTATGGTGCAAAGAATGCCCTCTTGCATGTCGGAATTTTATTCAGCTATGCATGGAGGGTTATTATAATGATACCATATTTCATCGGGTGATTCAAGACTTTATTGTACAAGGTGGTGATCCGTTGGGTACTGGCGAAGGTGGTGAGAGTGTATATGGCACTTCATTCAAAGTATTATCTCTCATTAAATTTTAATGTGTATGAAAAAGGCTTTTATGCATTGTATGTTGCTCGTCGCAAGTTCTAGAAACTTTTGATTTTTTCATCTCTGATACTGTCGATTACAGTTAACTTTTAATTTCGTTTGTCTCCAATTTTTGAAAACGTTGTACATTTAGAATGAATTTCATCAACGATTAAAATTCAATCGTCGTGGTCTTCTTGGAATGGCGAGTGGGAATGATGGTATGAATGGCTCTCAGTTTTTTTTCACTCTTACTGCTACACCGGATCTCACGAAAAAACATACTCTTTTTGGAAAAGTTTGTTTTTTTATGTACAGAAATTTATAATATGTTTCAAATTTTGTTTTTGTGTTGAATTAACTCATAAAAACATTATAGCGGGCCGCGCTATTTAGCAGGAAACCATGTATTTCTGTATGATTGATTGTTTCAATTGTTTTTTGTTATAGATTACTGGTGACACATTATTCAATATGTTGCGTTTAGCGGAGTGTGAAACATATAAGGATGACAGACCACAATCAGTTCAAAAAATAATACGAACACAGGTTTTAAGTAATCCATTTACTGACATAGTCCCAAGAGAAGCGAAAAAAGAGAAGGAAAACAAAATCCGAGGGAAGAAGGACGTTAAAAAGTAGGTTAATTTCAAAAAAAGTTTCTGGAACTATGCAATACAGTCTCTATAATTATCAGTTAATGCATGTTTTAGAAACTTAGCACTTCTTTCGTTTGGTGATGAAGCAGAGGAAGATGAAGTTGAGCTGCAGAAAGTCAATGAGGTTTGTTTTGTAATTTTTTCAAACTTTTTTCTCATTTACTCAAATTACTTATCTAATAATAGTTGAGAGAAAAAGTTTTTTAGTAAGAAAATTAATGTTGCAAGGTGTCTGTGCATGTCTGTATATTCTTATATTACGGAGTTTGAAAATAATATTCAGTTTTCAGAATTGTTGATCTGAGTAAAAAATACAAAATATTGTTTTTTAAATGGTTTTCAGATTTTGAATTGCAAAAGTAAAAGTGCTCATGATGTATTAGCGGATGAAACTCTCAGTAAAGAATTAGTTGTACCCACAGAAGAATTGGTCGATCCAGCATTTGTGAGTCATATTCAATCAGTTTTCAGTTTTAATTCAACAGAAGTTTGAAAAACATGCTTTTCTCGTATTTTTTCTCATTGTAGGCATCTTTCATAGAAGATCCGGAAGAACGAGAAGGTCGGATGGAACGGATTAAAGAAAAATTAAAAAGTCGTAAACGAAAAGCCAGTCAAAATGCTGAAGAAGAGATAGACGAGGATGAAAACTTTGAAGAAATGATTAAGAAAGAGATGAGTGATCGTCAAAAGCTGGAACTGTGAGTGGTACTTTGTTTTTTATATTGTAAAATGTAAGCCTGCACCTTTTCCAAAGCATTAAAAAATATTTTTTCTCCCGTTATTTTGAAAAGCAACATTGTAGTGAAAAAATCGCAGCTGAGGTGAATTCAATTCGTAGAGATCTGAAAACAATGCTTAAACCAAAAAGAGAACGAAGAGAGACAAAAGGTTGTGATTTTCCTTAGCTTGTTCTCTTCCTAACAAACTTCACGTTTCTGCTACTATTTTAATATTTCTTTATTTGCAGTAAGAAGCTAGTTACTGAAACACTATCATTTTTTTCTGAGCTAGTGCACTTGGCTTTTGCATATATATTCCAAAGAACAATTTCTAATATTGACTGCATTCACCTGAAAAAAGTCTCAAGGTTTTTTTATTTTAGTTGAAAAAGTAGTTACGGAAGCAACAAAGAAGCACCTTCAAATGAAGCAAAAGTTTAAGGACGATGCGAAAGTAAAATTAAAGTCGAAAGATCCACTTCGACAAGATGAAGTGAATTTTCAAGAACATTTTTTTGGTCATGTCATTCTGAAATATTACTGGGTAGATCACTCAATTTTCTTCAGACAATAGCGATGCTCAAAAAAATTTTGGCGAAACATGAAAGTATGAAACGACTAACTACGATCAAGTCAGCAGATCCCAAAGTAGGAGGGAAAACAAGTGAGCAGGTTGGAAAGCTTAATTTCGACAATGAAGAAGATCTGGATACAGCTGAGATGTGAGGTCTTATGCATATTTGAAAATTGTATGACTACAAAACAGATCCTTTAGTTCTTCTTCAACATATTTTCACTGTTACTAATAGTGGACCTGTTTTACAGTAATCAAAATGCGATTTGTTTATAAAACAGTTCATTCTAGTTAAGTTTTTTTTAAGTATAGTACATAAATTTGTGGCACCCGAAGATAACGAACAGATGAGTAAAGCAAAAGATGCCAATTTACGAGAAGAAAGTGAAGACTGGTATGATATTACTGACCCACGGAACAAGATGAATCAGCGAAGGAGAGCAGCACAGTAGCTGTCTTCTCAGTTGGAAAATTAGTCATCATTCTGTTAAACGGTGACTTATGTGATTGTTCCCGAAAGGTTTTTAATCTTTGAATGCGTTGATATATGCAGTTCAGAGTGCATGTTTAATAAATCAGTTTTTCACTTGTGGAGTCCAAGGAAGAATTGTAGTTCTTAAACTTGGATTCGATGTATGCACTTGTTTATTTTCCATGTCACAATAACATGCGACTGGTTCCTGAAGTTTTGAAAGATAAAAATAAATGGTTTTACTTTGCATCTTACATTATAATATAAAGCGCCGAAATGAATTTAAAATATTTGACGCTAAAGAAGATAGACGGAAATATGCTGCATATATTGAATAAAATAAGGTGTAAATGTACATATCTTGTATAAAATTAGGAAAAACAGCAAATGCTGAATCGAATCACACGGAGATAATTGCGAATTAATTAAACATTTTTCATACCAGGAAAATTTGTAGCAGTTTTTTTTGCTGGAAACGATAACAAGTCAGGAATCAATGGAGCTGGGTTGTTATTTTGTTAAAACAGTAAGTACCATACTGTTATACTAGAATTGGTATTTTCAGCTTCCTGTCAAACATTAATGGTTGAAAATGAGTAAAATTCTGGGCCTGTAAAATCAGATGGCTGGAACATTCATTATCCTTTTCCATTTCAGTTACAACTGTTAACTTATTTACGCAAAATCAACTTTTCATAATTTGGTAGTATTTAATAGACTGATATTAACAAGTCAGTTATTCAGGAGACTAAAGCACCGAATATTAGCAGAGACAAAAAATTACGATTTAATAATTGTGATAGTCAAATTCGAAACAAAGCTAATGGTGAATACAGAGAACCATCAAAATTTTAAGTTTTCAGCGCATAATTTTTATAATTTCACCTGAAAAATTAATGTGAAAAAAAATGACAAATTAATTACATATAGTATAAATAAATATCATTCTATGTAGTACTGATCACTCGATCGAGTTTTTATCACGAAATTGACAAGATTTTCACTAATTTTTGTTTGAATTTCAATGAATAAGGGATGATACTAAGATATCATTATATTCGTACATTGATTAGATATTTACAGCAGTGTGTTAACAGCTGTTTACCACCGTTCAGTATTACCGTTGAATTTTCTCTGCAATTAGAATAAGCAATTAAAATTAATTACTAGATTTAAATTTCTTTCAGTGATTGCAAAAATAAAGCGACACTAATTATGAGAAATCATTATGTTCTTGCCTTGTGTAGATATCTAAACCATACTGCCCACTTTCATAGAATTCAACTTCAATCCTAACTACGTCTCCACGTATTGATGTTTGACATTGACCTTGTAAGTTACGATCATCCGTTCGATTCATATGTAGTGATGCCACAAACTCAGCTAATGGTTTCACCATTCTGAATGAGCGATACTGATAATAACAATGATTATGGTATTATAAGATGTCACTAATGGTAATTTATACACTGAATATATTGTGAAAGTTTCACTACATTTTTTATCTCAATTGAATGAATCATTGAAGTCATAAATTTTTGAAAAACTTAAAAAAATTAAACCTAAAAGTGATTTCAAGTGTACGACCACAACTAATGATTGCATCTTCGTGCGTCAATGGTATCAGACCAAACAACCGATATGCCTTTGCTGGACCCCATTCCCCACTGGCACATTCAGGTAATGGCACCATAATTACATTTAATTGCTCACAAATAATCTGAAAAAGTTCTACTCAAAGTACTCCAAAACGGTCAATTGACAATTACATCATTTAGGCGAAAAATGAATTTGCATTGAAAATTAATCAAATATACATAATACTGCTACTGAATGGTATTAAATAAAAATTATCACGACAGTAGTAATCAGCAGAAAAGCAAATAAAATCTTTCAGAATAAGATGTCATAACGATCAGTAAATATTACAGAAAAAATGAAATTGTGTTAAAAAATGTTCTTTGATAGGAAAATAGGGCACCATTTTATTTTTGCAAAGAAATTTGACATTATTTTTTGGTACAGAACTCCCAAAATAATATGCATGTATACATAAGTTAACAGTTTGTGAAGTTCATTTACTTTAAATTTGCAAACACTTTTAAATTTGATAGGTTGTCCGGTGAGGTAATGCCCAGGTGATACGGCGTTAGCAAAAATGTCTAAAAGTAGTGGCATCGTAGATGGACAATGCACCCGGAATATTGCCGAATTACCAATTACTGACTGCATCACAAAACGTTTCAGACTGTAGCCATCTACTTCAGTTTCATCGCAATCAAAATATCTGCAAAAATTTTCAATTCTATTCCTTTTGAAAAAATGTCCAATATTTAATTTGATTATAAAACCAATTATCTCCTTTTATTTTCAACTTCATAAGTCATTCAAATTAGCCTTTGATTTATCAAGAATTACAATAATAAATCCGTTATCCAAATTTATGAAACTGGTATTTTTGCTTAAATTAATTATTTGCTTTATCGGACCTACGCTGAGAGTAGTAATCGATAATTTAATACTTAAATAAAATATCTTTCACTACAACAAAGTAATAATTAACAAAATGAGTATTACTTGAGGTTATAATGAAATATTAAGGAATTCATTGCTTGATTTGACATCGTAACTGAAACTGTTGCGGCACCACTTCGATCGGCCTACAAACAAGCAAAGAAAGGCTAGGTTTTATAATCCCAAATAAGATTAATCTTTTCATTTCTGACCGCGCTTTACAGATTCAAAACTTTATCAACAAAAAGTGATAAAGCACAGAAACGAGACAGAAATGAATTAGGTAGATAGTTTTCTTTCCTTATTTGCTGAAAGCTTAACAAATAGTTTTGTAATGCATTGCTTTCTGTCAAAAGTTATTCACCTTAACAACAGCTTGCAACTTGGGGTCAGTGAAACTGAGGCCATAACGGAAGAAAAGTGAACGCACAAATGGCAATGCCTCGAACTGACGCAACGTTACGGGATTTTCCAAAAGTTGCCACTGAGGTTCCTGCGGGAAGAATTCGTAAATAAATTCCTGAAGCAAAATCTTCGCTACTATATTTTCACCTAGCGAACAGTACATTCAATCATGAATTCAGCAATCGATAAACGGAACAGTAATCAATCTATTTGTCATGTAAAAACTGAATCGAAACATCTACGCTTTTTCCCTAGCGCTGTTTTCTACTACATGACTCCACGTTACAATTTTTCCCTTGCTCTTAGTATAATTATTAATATGAGCAGCTTAGTCCTCATGCTAGAAAGAACTAAAAATAAAAGCAGTTCAGAGCACGTCAACATTTGCATTCTTCATTATATTCCTACTAATTTTTTGAAACTCATTTGATAGCCTGAATCTAACCACCGCTTCTGTTTTTGTTTGAGTTACCATCACTAGACTATTTATCTTGCTGAAAGAATCAAAAATGTAAAAATTTCTTGCATGACTACACGTGGAACTAACTGTTGAAAAATTTTTTTTAATGAAGAAGTTGAAACAGAATTGATGTGAGTGATATATTAAAATATTAGGGAAAAGGTCATCAAATGTTCTCAAGAAAAGCATGAATGCATTAAAATAGTAAATGGTTTTGAAAAGATTTTGTTCAAACGATTTTGTTAGTAAAATTAACTTCCCTATGTAAAACCGCTTGTGTCGTTTAAAAAAGACATAAATAAAAATTATTAGTAGATAATTGCAAACAATTTTCCAAAATATTAAAAATGAGTAAGGTAAGAAAAGTATAACAAAAGCTGAAGTGAAAGTGAATTTTTTTTCTCGCGTAGATCAGATAAATTTTGTGACAGGCTCGAGAAAATACTGTATGCAGAAAAATTATTGTACTACATGAATGTATGTTTTGTCTGCAGTAAAACAAAAACGAAAGTTAGATATTAACAAATAGCAAGTAAGTATGCACTTTTGACAATTTTACGTGTAAATTTACAGTAACTAATGATGACAAGGGTTTAGTACGCACAATAGTATGACTGTATACACATTTTAACAATTGTGTTATTTTAAAAATTAATGCTAAAAACTTGCAAAACCACGAAAAAAAATCATAAATATTTTCAAAAGTCAAATTATTCAAAATTTCAAGGCATTAAATACTTAACTACAAATCATCATGAAATCCAGAGAGAAAAGACTACGATAAAAGATGTTTAACTGTAAATGAGATATTGTTGAATATTCAGACAACAACAAAATTTAAATATTTACCTGAGGATCAGTCATAAAATAATGATCATCATATTCATATCGTAAACTATCACTCTTACTAGTTACTCGTGTATTTCCTTCTCTTGCGTTTCTGCAGTAAAAGAAGCACATCAATTTTGAGAATATAAAGAAAAATTAAAATTTATTCTTTGCTTTATTTAGTGAAAAACTATGCGATGAATAAATTTATTATCATTACATTAGAAACATTAATAAACTATTTTTTTATTGGCATGGAAATGTTCCTTTTAAATAGGTCGCAAAAACATTTGTTCTCGACTTTACGTACGCTACTCAACTGAAACCGTTACACCAAATGTCGAGCACCCCAATTGCACTGTACGAAACGCCAGGATCCACTCAAATACACTGCATTCCAGGTATTTCGGAATCTGTTGTCTTCGAACCGAAATCCAGGTTGATATCCGGCTGACTTGCTATAGCCTTTGATGACAACGCAATGTAATCCAGCATAGCTGCAAAGTCTGATAATTCACTAAAGTCCCATGCAGTTTGAAGAAAATACTTCATCATAAGGGTTGATAAATTAGAGGGACAAATTTCAAAAACTTTGATGAATACGAAATAATTCATAAAACGCGATCAGAAGTTCAAAGAGAAACCTGCAAAGCCGTTTGAACAAAACATGATAGCTTTCAGTACCATATTTAATCCCACGCAATAAACCCAACGGAGTATTGCTATCCAAACGACTGTCAAATTGCATTACATTTAAATTTTTGATCGTAATCCATCGATAGATGGCTCTAAAAGCATAATTTTATTCGATAAAGTGTTCAAGCTCAACAATCTTAGCTATGACTAACTTTTTTCATCATTGATTTAAAAGTGTTGGTTCTATTTAGTCATGATCAGATCACACGAATCGCATTCTCGTATACGTCAAAGATCAATTAGAGGGAATAATTTGAACTCTGATCCAATTTAACTACTTCCTTTCATAACAAAATAATCGGTAATGAATGCAGTCAGTGAAGTTACAAATTACTCATTATTTAATTCAGTCTTTAATTGGAACCATTTCAATAAATTGTGCAAATTATAATCTACCCATTCGCACCTAGCTTTTTCGATGTCATTCCGTGCATTAGCAGTTAGAGTTCGGATTAACTGAGTAAATGTAGTGATCTCCGATTGAGCCAATGTAATTGCTATTTCATCTATTGCTTCAAATACCATTGTATTCGTATAAATATCTCGTTTGCTACAGATTGGGGGTTGTGGTGGTGGGGGTGTAGTGGGATATGATGGTGGGCCACTATTAGATGAATCTTCCTCACATTCCTCAATAAACCTTTTTTAGTGAGAAAATTCTAGTTTGCATTTTAAGAATCAGTTTAGTTTGAAAGCTTCTGCATTGAATGAGAAAAATTTTTGGAGCAGAACGAAATTGTTTTTAAATTAAATGAGAGAAACATCAATTACATGCAATTTATTAAACCATTGCAGACCAAATTGAAAAACTAAGAACTAAACATCAATACAGTACTCTGGCTTAAGAATATATTTCATAGTACAGACTAAGTGTAAACTGAACTTAGAAAATGAATTCAACAAAAAAATATATTGATTCTGCACGATTTTTTCACTGCAGTGAAGTCATCTCCAGTCAGTACAGAGATAATCAAAAATTTAATTATTGTTTTATTCTTTATTACGTAGAAAGGAATTAAAAGAATGACAGACAGAGTTAAAACAAATTCGTAAGTGCTTTAAAATGCAAATTAAAATTAACAAAAAGCCATGCAAACCATTTTAATAAAGTATAAAGTTAGAACTATTCACAATTAACGCTCTTGCTCTTACTTCTAATAAGCTGATTAATGGCTACTTCTTATCACCAAAATAAGGACTTTGACGAAAATATACTAACTTGTCTTTTCTAAATATTAGGCTATGTTATAAAACGATAAAAGTTGAAATATAAAAATTAATAATAAAAATGATTTTATTGACAGATAACTTTTAAAAATTTCAATGATAAAATTATGATGGAAAAAAGTGTAAGTACATTAACTAGATAACTTTTTTAGTTTTGAATTTTCTATATAGTTTTGATAACAAGTATTTTTACAGATTTACTTAAAAAATTAATCTGAGAGACTTTTCTCTGTATAAATATTTATTCTGGATTTTAAAAATACATTAATCTTCAAATTAAATTCACTGCAGGTCTTAATATCAAAAAACGTGAACTTGTACACTTTTATTACTTCACTTCTGTTCATTTGAAATCCATGTTTTATAATCATGAAACTCACCACTCGAGCTTGCTTGAACAATTCTAACATTTCTTTAGCTTGTCGATCTAGCAATTCCGCTGTTTGTACACGTTCACGTTCTTTACGTTGCTGATGCAATGTTTCCAACTTTTTGTCCCGTTTTATCGTCAAATGCCTGATTAAATCTTCTTTGTTCTTATTGCCAACTTGACCTTTTTCATATTTCCGCGCAAAATCAGCCAATGCTCGTTCCCATTCTTCCTGAAAGATTACGGCAAAATATAATCTCTAACAAATTCAACCTTTTCGTCTTTGTTTCGGGAAAAAAAAAGAGCTTATTTGAATGAAACGAATTCTTCTCACTTTCGTTTCGCGTTCGAATTCATCATATTCACGTTTCTTGTTTTCATCAAAGGCTTCATAAAGTTTATCTTCGTCTTTCCTATGGATTAATTCCAGTCTAGTCTGAGCATCATAATCCTAAAATTGAAGATAATTAAAACAAATAATTTTCTTTTTTTTATTCAAATGAAGATTTAAAGCTTTCCAAGCCATCATCTGTTTAGCTGATTAGGAATAATAATCTAAGAAGTTTTCATTCAGAACTTTATCTCAGTATTTTTCAGTAATAAATAATTTTTACGTTTTTAATCGAAAAAATCTGAAAAAAATCGTAAGTACAAATTCTGCAGAGTTGAAAAAATCAAAAATGTACTGCAGTTAATCACTAGTTTCTGCATTATGTAATTTCATCAAAAAATGACTAACTGAAAACTCTATCATTACTAATTAAGAAGATGAAAAATACATTATGACGCTATAATTCTAGCCAAATTGATTGGATTAATAAAAAATTTTTAATGACTCTTTGTTTATATTTTGGAACGAAAAATAACAAATTTCCAAGTTTTCAGTTAAATTTTTAGTTAATTAAACCAAAATTAGAAAAAGTAATCATTTCCGTAAACGATCATTAATTTCAGACAATCAAAAGATAACAGAATAAAAACATTTACCACTACGTAACGGGCACCGGCATGCTTAATTTTCGGATATGGTTTTGATACTTGCGTTGCTTTAATTGCATGCGCAATTTTTAAGTCACTGAGGCCGGCATCACGACGAAATCCATTGCTACGATTAGTTCCATTACTAACACCATTACGAATAGGTGGTAAATCGTGAGGTCCTGCCACAGGTACATGACTGTTGCAGTATATTTCCTATTGAAATAAAACTTCGAAGACTGTAATACAATAAGTAAGAGAGGCTTGAAGATTAAAAATTGTTTAATTAACATAATTCAAAAAGACCCAACCTGATCACTGGTATCATTACGATTGTTGCAATAGGTTTTAAGCGCTAAACGTGTACCGCAAATATAGCACTTGAAGCATCCTTGATGAAAAAACGTGTAATCCTTCAGTGGACCAACTTTATCCGTAGGATAAACAGGTTTCGAGCATCGATGACAAAGCTCTTTAACCATCTGCCTTCAGCCAGTCTAATTTGATATGATATCACACACCCAACAAACAGATCAATTGTTGATATTTTCCTGCAGCGTCAAAGTCAATCTATAAAGCAGTCAAAACTATACTAATAAAGTTATAAAGTATTATTTTCACCACATTACACCTAGTCATGTTCGTTTTATTTGCATATCAAAAACCTTTAAGCAATTATCACCGCAGTTATACTTCATTATTTTGCTAAATATGCAAATTTTTTTAGAGAATAAAGATTTAAAAAATAAATACCAATTCATTACTAGAAATTTCTACGCAACACTCATTATATCCTACAATGGCTGTTCAAAATGGAAATTTCCTCAATCGAAAGAAAAACAAAGTTGTTCATAAATTTTTATAATAAAATTTAAAAAAAATGAAAATAGAAACATTTCCTTTCAAATACTGTTGAGAAGGCAAAAAAAGGCAAATGATATTGCCATTTGACAGGTTTTACTACCCATTTTTTAACAACAATAGAAGTAGTTTAAATTTTGCCTCCACTTTTCTTCCTCAAAAATTAAACGCGAAAATTTAAGTTTTGCAGACACTTTTATCTATAATTATAAATGCTTTCAATAATCTTGAAAAACTTTTCAAAACTATTCTGATTAACTCTTTCTGGCAACTATCTCTGTCTTTGTTACATTATTATCTATAATTTTATTTGTAATTATTAAATATTAGCACTTATATTACAATTAGTACTAAAATCTTTATTTATAAGAACCATGAGCAACACTTTCATCATATCTGTTATAATTATATCATTTTTGAAACTTTTTTGAACTACTTTAACTTTTATCAAAAGCACTGCAATCAATTTGCCTGCCATGATGCCATGATCTAAGATGCATATGTTGCATACCAGCTTAACTTTTTAGCTATTATTTGTAATTACGATGATTGCTATTCAATTCTTTACATTGCTAACAACTGATTCATTGTTAGTAATGAATATGACCAATTTCCTACTTGATAACAATAAATTCGACAAGAGTAGTAATGACAATATTATAGAAAATAGATATCACTTTTTTCTCACTCTACGAAATTCGTGCAAAAAAACTGCAACTGGGATCATTAATTTGTTATTATTATAATGATGCAATCTTAATTCGTTTTGAGATCAACATTTTCTTCATTTTTTAAAGTCAGATGCTAAATACATAAAATGCTAGAAGAAGTTTTATCACCAGATTTGCTAACGAACGTATAAACAAGCTTAGAATGAAATACTTTATAATACACAATGAATATAAAAATAAATATGACTGGCTTTGCAAATAAGTATGTTGAACATTTTCATTATTAATACTAAAAATTACAACTGATATTTAAAGAATTATTTGACATTTCTTTATCACTGATACAAACAAATATTCACAATCTTATTCTATTCATATTGCGCCAACCTTTACATATTAAAACAGTTATTACGCCCTTAATATAAATATCCGGAAAGTTGGAAAACAAAAAGATATTTAATATGATTTTCACTCATAATTTTTACATCAAATTAATAGTTATTGGTTGTTGCATTATTCAGTACTACTACAGGCGTCATGTCATGTTTGTTCAGTATAACATACTTGTACTGAAATTGGATTTAGTAACTTCGTTCAGATATAAATCTTATAACTGGCAATTAAATCACTTACATATATTACTCTTTATAAAACTGGCAATCTTCTAAATAATATGTTGTTGAAATGCACTTATTACGAAAAAAAAAAAGTACCTTAATAAAATACTGTACAACAAACGAAACACTTTTTTGATTTTTTGCTTACGTGAGCAAACATTATTGCTATAGGAAATAACTTGGTGAAGACTTTAGTACTCATTTAATAATATTGACGATAGCACAGGGATTTATAGTACGTGTCAAAACACAATTTAGCAATATTTGAAATAAAATTTTACGAACTGTAACAGAAATAGTAAAAGAAAAATGTGAATTTTTTAGTCATGAAGTTAATGGAAATGAAATGTACTTAATTTGAAATACAGATTAATAAATATTGAGCAACCGAAAATGCATTGAAAATGGCATCATCTCAGAGCCTTTCAGATTTATCTACTGCACACTACCATAATCTTTCTTATATGCCAGGTTGTACCATTTGTAAACGTTACGAGTATTATTCTACTATCTCTGTCATTCACAAATAAATAAAGTTGCTAGAAAAATTACTTTTTGATGCAAATAAAGATTATAACTTTCTTTGAATCATAAAAGTATTAATATTTTATATTTTACAGCATTGAAATATTTATGTGGTAGAGTTTTCGTTATCTGAAGGAGCAGAACCTAAATAAAATAAATCTTTAGGGAAACAATAACCTATTTTATGTTTGTCTCACAAGTGACTGAAAAATAACAAATTTCGTTTCAAAAAAAAAAATGATGGCAGTGCATTGCAAAAGAATACAGTTCCATTGTAAGTGACAAAATTCAACTTATATTGGTCGAAAATACGATACGAGTTTGAATTATATGACTATCTTACCATGAAACTTCGAAAAAAAATTATAATCGTGAACAATTATCACTATGCATATTTCGTTTAAGCTGAATTTTATGTAGTTAAGAATTAACTGCAAAAATTATGGGAGCTGAATGGAATGAGTTAATAAAAGAATGAAATATTTATATGTAGTAAATAAACATAATAGATGCTTTTATTAGTAAGCGAAATAATGGGATGTAAGTAAGTGTAAGTAAGCGGAAATAAATAGAAGTTAAAGTGGATATGTAAAGCTCTGGGAGGTAGAAAGCTGACCACATTCAATACACATTCAATACGTCTCACTTTTCTTTGTTTTGATCTTCCGATGAAGGAATTCTGATTGAAGAAAGGAGATTAAATATTGTTCGGAACTGGTTTCAGCTCCGTCATGGCATCAAATAATGTACGGGAGTCAAAAAGAGCTAAAGGATCTCGGAAACATATTGTTTTCATTGTTTATGCACATTATCTTAATCAGTCAATCGATTCATCAAACAGTTCGGGCAAATTTAAACCATTAATTTAATACTTACTATCTGATAACGATTATTTCTACAGCTTGTATGCTTGCTTCTACTTTGAACTTCTCAACTCTGTTGACAAGTTTGATACTATAAATCATAATTTCAAAAATAAAAAAAGCAACAAATGGTCAGAAAATTGGAATGAAAATTTTAGATACATGAATATGAGTCAATAATTGATGAAGTAAAAAATACAGCAACATAATGTTTCAGATAACAATTACTTGTTCAATATTCTCGACTTGTCCAACTTCAATGAATAACTGTGCATTATATTTAAAACCAAAAATAAATAGTCAAGAACAACGAATGAGCGAAAATTTTTGCGAATGCAAAAAGAAATATCTCATTCCTTCTATTGCTTTTTTCGAAGAATGCAACAAACGAAATATGCTATTATTCATCATCATTTTCCGCAATCAAAAAAAAATTTAGTCAAATATTTGCACTAGATATTCATTCATATTTGCATTACCATTTTTAAACCAAAAGTGAAGACCCTTCGCAGTGAGTAAATACTGACAAATTAAAGTTGTCCTGTATTAAAATGAATAAATTAGTCTTAAGCGGTAGTAATTTTGAACATTCAGTAACAGAAAAAACGGAATTTAAAAATCATACTAAATGGAGAAAATTATCAACTGCTTTTATTTACTGAAGAAAGTTTTTATGAATGAAATATGCTCAAAGATAATGACACGAAATATAGGTTTTGTCAATTTTTGTTCCGGTTTAATCATTTTTTATAGTAAAATTCTTAAAATACTCGAATGAGCATGACGATTTAATGACTGATGCAAGTCTCATTTTCCAGCTGACCTGATATTGGCTGTAAACTACGGATGAACAAGTATTTGGTATTTCTATTACAGTGAATTTTTATTTTGCAAAAAAATCTAGGTGACTGCAAAAAACCTGTGATGCTATTTAGAAACAAGTTCATTTGAAACATATTAGTGATAAACTGCAAAAAAATGAAAATGATGCAAGCATTTAGTTTTTTTGGTTAGTTCTCACATTACTGATAACTTATAATGCTGTAAAATTAAGTACTGCCAGTGCTTCAAGCATCAATTCTTGATTTGTTTTATTAAGTACCTTGAAATTCAGAGGACATCTACTACTTCTTCCTCATTAAAATTCAAAATTAAGCCATTATATTTAAAGCTCATAAAAAGCATCGTTGAATATAAATAGCTCATCTTAAATTAGTTTTTCTTCACAACAAACAAATTTCTATTTCTACTATTGAAGAATCTGAAAATGCGCAGTAAAAGTAACTTCTCTTCAACAGTTCGGAAAAAAACTCAAAATAAATTGCAGAGTTTGAAATGGAGTAAAATTAATTATGCATCACTTCACAAAATCTCACTAAAATAAAAGCGCTAGCGCAAGCAATCAGACACGATTTGCAAACATTTGACTGCTTCCAAGTTTCAAACCTAATTTATGATGACTCAATTGCGTGTTCTTTGCTATTAATTTTGTTAAATACGAATAAGAATTCATAATGAAAACTCGTTTAATTATATATTTAACGTGAATAGTGTATTTATTCTTGATGCTGCTTTATTAGCGCAAATATACATATTCATGAACACAAACCACTTCCCTAAAACTGAATTTTAATCGAGAGAATCCAATTTATCAGAACACATTTGCTTTATAGATAAAAAACATTTGTAAAAATTGCATAATTCAAGATACCAAAATAAATATTTGCATACTGACTAAAAAATCATTAAGTATAAGTTGGAGATTAGGAAAGATACGATTTGCGATTTGCTTCACGACACTATTGGCACTCCAGATGATCTAAAATGATGTTATCATCACTTTAGATCATTTGGAGTGTGTCAACAGCAAAGAAAATAAATAGTATTTTCCTCCAATAGCTCACTGAAATTAGATCTCTTTCATTTATGGAAAAAATATTTTTAA